TTTATATTCTAAGTGTGTTCATTCTTTTATTAATTATTTTCAATATTTTGGCTATTTCAAGAGCCTTAAATTCCTGATTTTTATACACACACTTTGAGCTTGTGTTTCTAGTTATATACTCTCATATTCATAAGTTTGAATTGTATTTTTGAGAGAGTATACTTGTCTTCTACACCGGCTAAGTTTTGTTCTTCATTTTTATATTCAAGCCGTTGTGTAGAACTCTTGTTTGTGTTTTTCAAACACACCTTCTTATGGTCGAGAATAGCCGTTAAATTCTCACGTTGTAACGGTTAAGGATAGCCGTATAAATCCTTGGGTAAAGGTTCAAGGATAGCCTTTGAAATCCTTGGGGGAACGGTACGAGATAGCCGTTGTAAAATCTCGGAGTGAATCCTATTGGCAAGGGTTGTTTGCCAAACTAGTGCGGTGCTTTGACGGAGTTCAAGAGACCGAGACTTAGTGGATTCGGAAATCCTTAAGGAGGAGCCTTAAGGTACTGGAGTAGGGAGTTCCCGAACCAGTATAAAATCGGTGTGCATTTACTTTACGCTTTTATTTTTGCGTTTTACTTATTGCTTCCGCATTTGTCAACACCGTTTTTATCAAACTCCGAAAAGATTTTTAAACGCCTTATTCACCCCCCCCTCTAAGGCGGCGGCGGCGTCGGCGGCGCGCGAGGAGTCCTCTTCTTGTTCCTTTCATAAACTCAATTCAATGCCTAGGCTTAAATATGAGAATATGAAAGGTTCAAGATCCGGTGTGGGACAAAGACTTTTACTCTTCCCATGTGTTCGACTTTATGAATTAATTTCTTATTCACCCGAGCACCATTTTTGGCGTGTAATGTGTCGAAACACTTATTCCACTTACGAGATTAAATGTCCATAATTATTTCGGAAAATAATTTTGTAGACTCTACCGAATTTATGTCCGAAAAATGTCCAATTTACTTAAAATTTCCAACAGGAATCAATGGACTACGTCATAAGACATTTGGATTTTATCGTATTAAAAGATTGATTTCAATTGATTACTCATTCAACTTGAGAGCTTATAAACTCATTATTTTCTTTTTCAAGTTCCAATTTGGGAATCTAACAGTTTGGTTGATTAGAAGACTATTGCATTATGAGGCTAAGAACTTATAGCACACATAAACGCAAATCCTTTTTTGTGGTCTTAATAATGCATCACATTACAAGTTTAATACACTAAAACCCAAATTTGGAGTTTCATGCCATAACACAATTAAATTACATTGGATCTTCTACTTTTCTTTATAAAGTAAATGAACATGTTCATAAAGCAACTAGCATGCCGAAAGGTATCATATACGCGATTTGAAAGATGCCTACAACCCGCTCATAGGCTCGCCATCGGGACTTTGGGCTTGAGATTGATCCACAGATTCATCCGAGGCGAAAGGTGGTAATGGAAGATCAGGAAATGGGAAACCGGGGATTCCAAATCCAGATCCCGGGAAAGAGAAACCGGGGATGTTTGGGATTCCAGAGCCAGGCTCTTGTGGAGCACTAGGAACGTTTGGAATTCCGAAGCCCGGAATGTTTGGGATATTAGGAAAAGGAAGCCCTGGAATGTTTGGAATCCCGGGGCTTGACCCTCCTGGAATTTCGGGAGCATCTGGAGTTCCAGGAAAGGGAATGCCAGGTATATCTGGAGTTCCAGGAAAGGGAATGCCAGGTATATCCGGAGGAGTTTCTGAGCCCGACCCTGGAGATGGAAAGCCCGGAATACCGGGCCAATCTAGTAACTTTGCACCATTTTCACTAGCTCCATTTTGTTGGGAGAGTTTCCTTGAATATTGAAGAACACGAGCATCGCTATAGGTCACTAAGAACATGGCCAGTATGAAACGCAGCAAAGAGAGCTCCTTTGATGAATATTGATGCATCATTTTTCTTGATTTTGTGGTTAAAAATGTAAAGCATCCACTAAGTTAAACTTTGAAGAAAGTGAAGTGTGTTTAATTGTAAGTTTACTAACGTCATTTGCTTATATAGCCCTAAACAATTGGGAGCAGAAAAAAAAATAATTAATGTATCTACCCAACTGTAACTTTTTTTAAATTAAGAAGATTACAAGAATTTTTGGTGATTTTGACCAAGGGAAACGTTACATAAATATGCATTAAATTCGTTTTTAGTGATCAAGTCTGCGTTGTTATATCATATCATGCACCCGTGTCAAGAAATCATTTTGTTTTTCACACTCCTTTTTTTTACTTTGAGTAGTTTTCATACTCTATTATTCCTTTTAAAAATTAAGTTACTCATTTTTGACCATTTGATGTTCTCTAAAAATAACCAATAAAACATTTCAATTTTAAGTATTATCGGTGTCACTAAAAAACTCGATTCTGTCGCGAAAATTATTGTTACAAATTTTGTCAAGAAAAATTTGTCACACAAAGTATTGTTACAAATTTTGTCATAGATATTTATCGTAGCCTCATATGTGTGAGTAGCCTAAGCCCTAAATTAAAGTCTTCCAATTTTATCACGGACTTTTTCGTGTCGAAAACCATGGCAACAATCGTGTTTGGAATGCCATTTATTCTCGGGATCGACTAAATCACTGAAAAATAAATCTATTAAGAAATATATAAGGAACTAAGGAATTGAAGAGTGCATCTTTGGTACACCTTGAGTACATATCATTTTTGAGTGAATATATTAGATAAAATATATTCTCTATCTTCATCCCGAATTTAATTACAAATTGGGATTTACGAGGGCAAAATCTGTCAGAAATCATCTTATTTACAAATTTGTATATCGATAAAAAATAAAAATTACATATTAAAAACTACGTCAAAAGTTCTACAAAATAAAAGGTGACAAACATATTTTATTTTCCCAAATAATTAACGAAAACACACAAATAAAAAAAAATTCTCAGCATCTAGCTTTTGAAAAACTAGAGTAAACCAAATTGGGACTAGAGCCTTTTATAAAACAATGGGCCCCCAAGCTGAATGGGCCCGGTGCGGTAGGGCTGCTCGGCCCACCCCCGGGCCGACCCTGTAAGGAAGAGTGCATCTTTGGTGCACCTTGAGTGCATATCATTTTTGAGTGAATATATTAGATAAAATTTTAATTTTTAAGGGATTTAAGAGGATTATGTTTGGTGTTGACTTTTCAAAAAAGCTCTTAGATGTGATTGGTAAAAGTAGATGTGATGGATATATTAGTAGTGAAAAAGTGTGATGTGATGAGAGATTTTTTTTGAGATTAGGGAGGTAAAGGCATAGTTTTAAAAACCGGACCGGACCGGCCGGTTCGGACCGTGAACCGGCAAACCGGTGGTCCAACCAGTCCGGTCCGGCCCATTGGACCGTAACCTGCTTTGAACCGGCCCGAACCGGTTTAAACCAGTAAGAACCGGCCGGTCGGACCAGTTTTTTTTTTTTTTTTTTTGCTGATTTTTTCCAAAACATGCCTCCATGGGGGTTTGAACCCAAGACCTCTTAGACATTTGGTTAAGCTCCTAACCATCCAAACAATGGTGCTTTTTGTTACAAGTTCACATAATATTTTATAATATTTCATAATTACAAAAAAGATTGTATATAAATTCCTTTTCAATTTTATTAATATTATATAGCTATGAGTCAAACACAAAATCATTGATATTATTGATACTATTACAAAATGCAAATCATGCAAAGATTTCTTTTTTTCAATATTAAACAACTTATTTGAAAAAAATAAAATCAACTCTTCATTTAAAATTCTTTTATATTTTTTTAATATGTAAATTTTATTTTTTAATTTTATAAAATAACTCAAGTATATTAATATAGTATTACTTAAATGTTATAAATTACTTTCTTTAGATATTTATAAATGAGAATGTGTGTGTCTATATGTATGTATGTATGTGTGTGTAAATATATATACATATAAATATACATACACACACATATATATTTATTTATTTATATTTATATAATTTTGAAATATGTTTAA